ATGCAATCTCTCGGAAGACAACATACTTATAAATCTTATGAATTAGGCTCATTAGGAATTGCATGAATAGCAGACAACGACAATTTGATTAGCTTTTGTTTCAGAAAGCCGTTCGGGAATTGGAGAACTACAAACAGTACTTCATGTATTCAAATTATGAAAACTGAAAATCTTGGTGGGATGCAATAAATCAATATATTTCTGTTATATCTCCTTCGCTTTTTTCCCCTCTCGAATACTTAATGAGTATGAGAATAACGCCTCGGACWGGAACTAATTGTAAGGACTTGAAAYCCCGTCCAGTCCTCACKGTCGGACTTTAAACATTACATAGTTTACCTTTCTGAAAGCAAGCATCGGGCCAATCAGGATTAAATACCTGGAATAAAGAAAATAATCAACAAATTATGTCTTATTTTACAAGGTATTTCGATGTTAGATTTGAAAATGCAAACGAGTAAAAAAATCTAATCATATACAAATATAGTGCAACATAGTAGGGCTGTATCACCCATAAATGCAATGTTCAACAATAAATGTAATGCCCACCATAAATATAATAAAATCTTCCATAAAAGTAATAACACCATAAATGTAATAATCGATCCCGTCATATTTGATTTCCAAGTCTTTTCTAATGTTTCGCAATTTTCGTCCAAGTAGCCTTTAAMGATTGTGCAACTGTAAATCAGTTGCAAWTGTAAATGCAGCAGCACTATTAATTTGGGAACAATTAAATTGTTCCGGCCTTTTCAGATTACGTCCATGKAAATGCAAAATGAGCATTCTTGACGTCATACACTCTAGACCATGATGCAGCTMTATGTAACAATATGGAATAATTTTAGTCGGTTCATGGTTTTTTGGGTATGAGTGCCTTGTCAGGCCACCTTGGGCAGAGGTTGAGATTGCAAAACGAATCTTGCTTTCAAAGGGTTTATTGGTTTATGCATGTTATATTAGGTACGGTATAGTATGGTATAGTATCAGTATAGGAGTTTCATACAGGCCTCGTATTGGCTCATGAGTGAGGTTCTAGATGTACCCTTTAGACGTTGAGGTTTGTCGCACCTGATGATTCGCCACTTGCGAATTACATTTATGGTTGAAATTTATTACATCTACTGTTGACTGTTATTACATTTATAGTGTGTATTACATTTATGGTGTGTATTACAT